GCCTCCCTCCCAGGGCAGCAGCAGGGGGGGCCTCCCCTCACGGATGGGCCTCCCACCCCTCCCGGGCCGGCGTTTGGGGGGTTTGACGCCCCCAGCCGTGGGGTCTCGCTTGGGCGGCGGGCCCGGCCCGGCCCTCTCTGCCGCCCCCGGGCCTGCGGTTGCTGCCCCGGAGAAAACCACACCAACGACTTAAGGACAGAGCGTCACTTTGAGGAAGAGAAAGGTGCTCATAGTTCTTCCTCTGCTTGGCTTGTGTGTTTGCGCAGCCCTGACTGGTCATCATGTCCCCGAGTCAACCGTGTGGGCCAAGTTTCAGCTGTAAACGTGCATCTCTGAGAAAGGCGCTCCTGTCTGCTTCCTTGCACGGCAACACCCCGAGATGCAAACTGACCAGAAAAAGGATGTCATTATGATGGGGATTGGGTTAAAACGACACACAGTCCCCAAGAAGTGAGTTTAAAATGTCTTCCTCGCTGCCCACGGGGTGCTGTGGAACCTTCGGGTGTTACCTGCCAGAGTCACGAGATGGCACAAAAATCGCATGCAAAAAGTGAGTGTTTGGGCCTTCATGTTTGTTGAGAAATAACAGCTGAAGAGCAAAATTCTAATAGCTCAAAACGCAAAGCAGATCGGCTCAGAAGATATTTTTCAAAATCTTACTTTAATAATTTACTGGGAGGTGCATTGTAATAATATGTTACAACGTTTTTTAACAGGAAAAAAATAAATAAAAATCTTTATTTTGATCGTCCCGTGTTCAGCTATGATGTTCCTACACCCGAGGCCGCAAGATGGCACTACAGGAATAGCTATTCCTTTGGGATCAGCCTGCCTGACAGGCGTCTTGCCTCTCGAAAGGTACGTGCTTTTCAGTGTGTCCTACTGGCAGTGCGGAGAGCTGGCTGGCTGTGCTTACAGCCAGAAGCACCTGCCTTGGGAAACCGGTTGCAGCCTGAAAAGTTGCACTGATTTTCAATTTGGTAGTCTGATGTCCTATTATACGAGAGTAGGCAGGAGGGAACCACGCAGGGACAACTGAGAGGAAAGAAGTAAAAACGGAGTTTGGTGGGAATTGCTGGATGTGGGTGCCCAGAGGTAAGATTTGGGCATGCCTACAAGGTCCTGCCAGGGCCTCCTGAGGAGTGTTCTTGGGCTGGCGTGGGCTCCATGGAGAGCCCAGCACCTTGGTTTCGTGCCTGTCAGCAGGCAGGAGGCTGACAGGGACATTAGCATTCCTGGGGGATGCCCTGGTCACCCCATTTGCAGTCTCGGCGGCTTTGTTGCAGCAAGCAGATCTGGCAGGATGTGGCCCATCACCCACGCACAGGGTAAAGTGATAAGGGAGCTGAGAGATGGTAGATCCTGCCCTAAGCCACAGAAAAGCAAACTTTGTCCAGGTGTCGACTATCAGTTCCTGTGATCAGGAAATGCCTCAAATAGACAGTGGCAAACAGATGGATATTTTTCATACCAAACTTTTGGGAAGGAAGGAAGTGTGGTTGTAAAAAAATGGACATTGAGAACAATGGGGTTTTTATTAATTTTTTTACTTTTTTTTTTTTTTTTCATGTGTTGGCAGAAAACAGAGTAGAAATACATACTACAGCAGGGCAGAGAGTGAAAATGCATTGTTGGTCTTCTTCTAGGCACTGTTTCCAGTTTGGGATTGTGCTTTTCAGAGATACAGCACAAACAGGGTTAAGGTACAGTGGGATACTCCTTCCTAGAGCAGTCTGGTCCCTGTACCTCCATTCCTTGCATGGGAATAGTTAGAGGGTGAGTTTCTAATGCTGATTTTCCCCCTCTTCATGGTGATGCTTTCTCTATATTATGGTCATCTCCTGTACCAATAAATGACATGTCCATCCTTCCTAACTTCTGGTACACAGAGCTCAGGAGATGGATATGGTTTGTCTTGTGTTGATAGGGGTAAACAGTCTCTTTTTGTCACTACTTATCTTATTTTTTATGATTGTCAGTGTCAATAGGTCATTGTTGGAGCTGGAAAGGACCTGTATTCTTTTCAGTACCTGCTCTATTGGGCATAATATTTAACGTGTTTACTACTGTAATTTAAAGCACTAGCTTGCTGAAGAAAAATATATGTGGCATTGCAAGATACAAAGCTAGCAAATAAGGGAGTTGTAGGTTACCTGAAGAAAAAGTGTTCAAGTGAAGCTGTGTGGGTAAGACAAGCTAAAATGAAATTTGTTTTGGTCAAACTTAATCTTCCTTGTTTTTAGAAGAGATATTTACTGTCTTTCATTCCCACTGCAAGTAAAAGAAACCGTAAAGGAATTAAACCAACAAATTCCACTGCATGGATTTTTCCTGTCAAATAAGTTACCTACAACTTCTCATGTATATTCCTGAGCTGGAATATCATTAGTCATATTACATCTGCAGCAGCATCTGTTGCTGTGGAAGAGTGTTCTCCTCCAGGGCTAGGTGTGTTGGATTTGATTTTGATAACAGATAACATAGTGTGGAAAACTACCAGTTAATGCAAGCCTTGGATACAAATGTCCTAATTTTTCTCAGAGATTCTTCTGTGCCATTGGTATGTACTAGGCTTTTAAAAGATTTTTTATGTCCATGGTACAAATCTGAAGTGGAGCAACCGCTTATAGGTATGTTCTTCTTGGCTGAGATCCCCTGACAGCTGGTAAACACCATGTACAAGCCCTGAAAGTGACTTCTGCCAGCTGGCTGTCTATATTTGGATAGTAGAGACCCCTGTTAAAGGAGCTATGGTTACGTGCATTCCTCTGAATTGCTACATGCGATGGACACTGTAAAGCCAGGCTGCAGGATCTGACTGGGTGTTTTGAAAACACAGGAGGGGACACCACTGACCCCTCTCACAAAGCACTTTATCCCCTCTTTAGACTTTCAGTCTGTGTTGCAAAGATTGTGTCCAACTAGTCGTGTCTGATATGAATACCGTAGAGGTTTGGTTTTTGAGTAGGTTATTTAAAGCTTATGTGCTGCCTTCTTTCAAGAAGAGCCCAGGTGCTAGTTTAGCACGTCTGCCCATCAGGGGATCTACATGTTCTTCATCCAGCTTTTTTTTATGTTGGCATTACAGTGCAGGGCAAGCTGGAATAAGATGCAGAGCTCTCAGATTACTTCTCCTGTGATATATGACTCTCCTTACTATGCCTTTGCATGGGGTCACACCGTGTTAGTCATGTGGGTGTGAGAGGATATGACAGAGACAGGCTGCAGCTGATGTGATGCCTTCAAGGGGGCCTTCTCAGGGCATGGACCCCTGGTAACCACCTTGTATTCCTCCATCCTGGGGGAGCACCACAATAGCACTCTCACTCTCTGACCCCATGTGGCATATAGGCACACCACTACCAGGAGAGCTAGCTCCTTCAGCATGTCCCTTGGAGCACCAGAGGGATGCCACAGCCCTCCAAGACCTGCATGTGAGATCCAGTGATAGCTGGGTATCAGCAAGGAGAAGGATGTGGGAGTCAAGTGTGTGAATCTCACGAGCTGAGAATGTCACTTGGCAGGCCTGAAGATCATGGTGGCAGCTGATATTTCAACATGGGACAAGACTGTGTTTTATCCTGGTGTTTTAACATGAAACTTCAAACTATCCTGTTTTAAAAGGATTTCCAATCCTGGGAAGCTGGCCTGAAGTCTGTGCCTGCACTTTTTAGTTAGTTGGGTAGCTGTTAGCAGTTTTCAGCATGTGGCAGTACTGATTTGGAGCAGAACTGTATGAATTGCTCAGAAAATTATTTCAAAATCAGTTCTACCAAAATTCAAGAAGAGCAGAGGTTTCAGGGAGCATTCCCAGTGAAAGTGGAAGTTACAGACTGAAGTCTGTTTTTCTTATGTAGG